TACTCCAGTGAAGACCTAAAGTGAAATACAAAATACAATTAAAAACAATGTCGGCCAAAAATATGAAGCAATCAAGCATCCTAATGTAGACTCTGTCTCTGGCCCTCTTCAAAATGTTTTCAGTCCAGTGTGTAAAAAAGGGCCATTATAAAACTCTATAGTAAGCTGATGGGAGCCGGTCACAGCAGGAAGGAGTGCTATACAGTACTGTGATTCTCTGAGTGGGAGTCCCACATATTCTACCACAAAGTCCCAGGGAATTGCACCATCCTCTTTTATAGGCTACTTGTTGTTTGATGAATTTTAATTCAATTCAAACTTTATTGAAGCAGCACCTGAAATAGACCACCCACTACAAATACCCCCAAATACCTTGAATAGCAACTGTTGTTTTTTTGCCTAGTGGTTCTGATAGCAACGTTTAACCTTGTTAGCATGTAATGAGGTCTATTCAAATTAAGCACAGGGTAAGGAAAAGAGTAACTTAATTGATCTGATTCAGTCTAATTAGTGTTGACTAGATAATCTTCTCTTTCTATCAACGTCTTAAATTCTTGACAGTTCCATAACAGAGATATTCTAATTCTTTGTGTTCCATATGCTTTGTGTGCAGGGAAAGTCTCTTTGGCACAGGGTTGATTCCAAAATAAAGTAGTACTTTAGATGAAACAATTGCAGTCTGCTTTTCCACATCTTTGTCAACTGCTCATAACTACTTTCTTTCTCAGTGAGTAGTCACACATATTCAGACAGGACAATAATAAAGTCAGTTTGGCTACGGAGAAGACGCGTTTAGACCTTGGAACTAAATAAGCGCACAGATTGGTCCATGCATCATTTCCTCACACTTCTATGAACTGAACTGAATTCTGGGTAGCCACTGTAGCGCAGGTGTAGACAAGATTCGCGAAAAATGCTAATACTGGTACCAGGACTTGAATGGGATTTGTGCCACAAATGCTAAAATGTTAGCATTTGGAAACTGTACAAGGGAAATAAAAGCAAAGTATGGATTGCTGTCATACCTTGTCCATAGACTGGTTTCCTTATCCTGTAAGCAATGTGTCGTTTTGTAATATGGGTGAACTATCCCGTTAAGTGTTATCATTTGGTGACCTTGACTGTGCAGAATGAAACAGATGTGAAATTATGTTTATACTTAAGAGCTAGCTTCAGAACTAGGCTACACCTGGTATTGGCCTAGACTCACACAGACATGTAGTTGGCTCCCTAGAAGCAATTTTCTCCCCACAGTTCGTAAAGGTAATCTTTAATCATTTTGTTTGTTGACGTCATTCAGAACAAAGGGACAGGGCAGGTGTTGCCATTTAATACGGTCCACGAAGAGAAATCATCTCCCCTCTGGTGATAATAGCTGGGTACAAAAGGATGGCAATGGAATCCTGTAATCAGGTTTATTTGAATGAACATCTGATTCATTCAGTCCAGGTAAGCAGCGAGGATGCTGGGTAAATGAGCTGCGTCCGACGGAGAGCAGGCCTTGGCCGAGGCAGGAAGCAATTGATGTTGTAGACCCAATGCGATTTGCTAAATGAAAGTAAGAGTTTCAGTAATTTGGATATGTTAATAACTGATACCCTTCAAAGCTTGACATGAATGGACAAAGTAAGCCTGAATGAAGCCGGTACTTGTAGTAAAGTAGTCATAACATGGTCTATTGGCATACCTTCCTCTCCTCCTCTGCAAAGTTCTGTTTCATTTGGCCTGTCAGCACGGATGGGGACACTGATCCCCGATGACGGATGAGGCAGTGCCTGAAAGGGCAGTGCGTCACAAACAACTCGTCAGGAGTTTTTTTATTGGAACGCCGCATGTCATCCGCATCAATCTAGGGATGGGCAGCGGCGCGACCCGACAGCGTTCTAGGAGAGTTTGAGGAATCTAGTTTCCTGTCCAAAAACTTCCTGACCAGGGTTAGAAGACCATGAAGCGAAACAAAGAGGAAAACAGGCCAAGGACCTGAGGTTTATTTGATTCTATCCATAGATGAGTGAATATGACGTTTTTGTACAACTGAAAGGTCATTCCCAAGGTCATCATCTATGACCGTCAGTTCAGCTCCTAACAGCTAGTTACTTCAAGAAAATTGCCCATTTTCAATCTCACTACAGGATCAGTGTAGTATGGAATCCAAAATTAAGGGTTGATTCAACTGTATCTGTTTGTCTGATGGCTTGCCAAGATCAAAACACACTCCTCAAACGGATCTCTCTGACTCTTGGCCTAAGATGATAAAATATAGTCAAACTGATATGATCTACACAAGATCATCACATAAGTGGATAGTGACTCTGCCCTTAATAGGGCAAACATACAATCTCACAACAGTTAAGATGCCAATAAATTGAGAACACTTTGAATTATCGTTGTAATACACTATAGCCTTTGAGGACTTTGACGCATCCGACTGACTGACAGCGTGTGATCTAAGGGAAATCAAAGTCTAAAGATAAGACCTTCAAGAACTGAGTCGGATATGAGGGCCAGGGCCTAGACAAACTGACTGACACTTGATGTGACAGACAGGCAGCAATACCAAAAACTCTTGCTACGATTGCAACCATCAGTCTGTTTCATCCTGTCGCTATAGGAATTACAGGGGTTGTCTGTAACTGCGACACGAATCCCCATAATGGCGATGGGAGGATGTAGCACCTGATGACTTGTTTGTCGAGGCTAAAGCGCACAGGTCTTGTGTGGATTAGTATTGTAAGCAATAACACACCTGTCACTGCTTTAGACGACTGTGATGGGAGAGGGAAAAGCCACGGGGCCAGAGCCGAGGAGCTCTATATTAATTTTCTGTTTACTGACAGTTTCTCCATCCCGAAATGGAACCTATTCTCTATATAGTGCACTACTTTTGTCCAAAGCCCTATGGGACATGGTCAACAGTAGTGCACTACTTTTTTGATGCACATGCACGTACACATGGGGTGTTGAGCAGGACCCTTAAGTCAGGGAAATAAAGGTGTATTTTGTGTTTTAAAGCCTTAATCAAAGTGTCACAGGTTTACAAATATACAAACAAACCTGTAAAGGAACGTTTTGAAATACCAATATGTAATACTATGATGAATGCGAATACAATTATTTTTTGCAGATGCTCTTATAATCCAAAATTTGTAATATTCTTGCCCATTTCCTTGTCCTTTGATGATGACTACATCACTATTGAGAGTTACAATGGACTGTCTTTATAGACTCAGTATCGGTTTACCTCAATGCCGGTATCTGTTAACCTCAATTGAAATCCCATAGTGCATGTTACTGCTACTGGAGTAAATGCTCACATTCTGTTTTTTACCTGATATGGAATGATGAGGAAGACAAGTGGGATGACATACTGTAGTCTTAAACCAGATCTGCCTCTCAAACAAATCTTAATAAGAATGACGATCTGGATTAAACATGATAGGTCTCTAAGCTATGTGCATGTCACATAGGGGGAGAGGTAGAGAGGGGAGGCACCTTATAGGTTGAGACGCAGTCCAATTAGTAGTCTGTTAGCCAATGGCGCGAGTCAAAAACAGACCCAATCTCTTTGGCTCAAGAGAAGAGCGGTTAGCCTGACCTGAGAACAAGTGGAATGTGAATGATAGGTAAGGCCAGGAGTTGTTCTTGACCATGTGACCTGACCAGGAAGTAAGAACTCTGGGCCCCTGGTCAGGTCACATGATCAGGAAAAACTCCTGCTTTTGTATTATCTGACATCACATTAAAGGGGCCTCCTGCCATGGAATCCACTAAAACGCACAGTGCCACTTAAATCCCTTTTAAGATCCTGACTCATTAAATACAAACTTTATGTTGGAGGAAATTTAATTAATTAGGCATATCTCCATTTTCATTCAATTAACCCTGTCTTTATCGCAACCCTAATTAATATTATCACCCGGTTCGTCAGCACAGTTATTAAGACTAATCACAAAGCTTGCCACGTGGGTCGATTCTCTTCCCCTAGAATGGAACAGCCAATGTATTCCAATGACATGGCTTTTGTGAGGGGGGGGTTATCTCAACCCAATTATACTGTAGCGTACCTCCTAACATGCCAATTAGTCACTTCCTGGATTCCATCCAATCAAATTTACCAGACATCCTGGTACATAATACTGGAAAGATGTGTGAGGGGCTAGGGTTATGGGTCATACCACTATGCTGTACTGTAGGGAAGGACATGTATAAAAATGTGGGCAGAAGCAGTCGCATTCTTTGGCACATGAACGGAATGTGCCCCTCGTCTTCTGATGCTTTGTCGCCTGCCGACCTGCCAAATAAATCAATTGCATTCTGTGAATGTCGTCAGAATGTTATTGGAATGTTATCTGCTTCCTAGTGGAATGCCTGGGTCCTGGGTTTGTTTGGCTTTAATATCCAGAGAATTTCGATGGATGATATGGCTCCTCTGTAGCTATACTTGGAGTTCTCTCTCACGTTGACCCACCACAGTCTATTGCAAAGAGAGTCAAATGCTTGAGAGACAACTCTGCTTATAGAGGGTGAGCCACTGTTGTTTCCAGACACTTCAAAAGTAGTGAGAGAAAATAGTGGGGGAGATAGGGAGGCGTCTGATTGAGTCTGGAGATGCTCACTGATCTGACTCTCCAGAGAGAACGAGAGAGAGGGAGCGAGAGCGAAGAGAGAGGAATCCTTTGTTTGGAATAAAATGGGCGTCAGACGTTGGTTCTTGTGCACAGGGCTCCCATTCCCACAATCCATTGTCACTGGGCTAGATGGCTAGCCAGATTAGCGTCCTGGTTGGTTTCTAAGGCAACATGGAGTGGAAACCACTCCACTGTTTGGGCACCCCAGTTCCCACACAGGCCAATTCCCCTAAAGGTGGGCGGAGATAGGGGTCATGTGCATTTTTGTTTTGAAAAGGACTCAAAATCCTTGTGGGGAGGGGGGGGGGGGGGGTAAAAACTCTTATGAGGAAGGCAAGTTCCGGCTCTCTGGGTTGTCAGAGGGGGTTTAGTTTAGAAGCGATCGTCTCTGAGTTGCGTGGGGGACTTGAAGGGCTTGAGTCCTAGAGTCTTCCTGGGTCGCATCTTCTCTTTGGTGACATCCAGGGGCTTGACCCCGACCCCGCATGCAGCAGCCCAGCCCAGGTCGATGAGCGGTGAGTCGGCCGGGTTCAGGGGTGCTACCCGGAACGTGGGCAGGGTCGGGGACCCGTTGGTGGAGCAGGGCGCTGAGCGGGAGGTGGGAAACGGTGCAGAGAAGGGGTCAAAGGGCAATGGTGTGTCGGGCGTGGTGCCTGACGATGGGTAGGCCCTCAGGGAGAACGGGTCACAGTCCGGGGAGGGGAAGGGGTCACAGTTCGTGAAGGGGTTAGTGGGCGAAGGCTGGTACCCCAGCAGGTGGCTGTCTGACCGCCGTGGCCCGTGGGCACTACCATACCCCCCGCCACCGCCCCCGGCTGAGATGAAGCTCCATGGGTCAATGCGGGGTCGGATGGGGGAGGGGCGCGGGCGCGGGATGACGTTGACCTCCAGGCGCCGTGTTTTAGGGCTCCAGAGGCGAGGGTCAGGGAACAGTGAGAAGGGGGCCGCAGAGGGCTTGTCGTCTTCTGACTCCAGACTGTCCTGGCAAAGGGGGAGGTCTAAAACACAGAGAGAGAGAGAGAGAGAGAGAGAGAGAGAGAGAACACAGAGATGATAATAAATATGTATATACCGTTTCACTAAAACGCATCAAATAAATGTCTATTGTCTAAGTGTGCAGACATTTTCTTCTTAGTCTAACGTTACAGACTGAGAAAAGCCCCACTTTCAGTGATGGAAATTAGATCCTAATGGGGCATTGAATAAGCACTGAAGCGAGACGAGCTTGCGTGCAGACGATAGGGTTGAAAAGGTGAGGCGGAAACCCAAAGGTGTTCGATCTGAGACAGCTCTCTGGAGGTGTTAAGTAGTTCAGCTGACACGGAACCGCAATCAAGAACCCCACGACGGAGAACCAACCAAACACCACTTTTCAGTCAACAAATAACAAATCCTCTATTGTTAGCTCTCCAAGTCTGCCTCCCAAATGGTACCCTATTGCCTATGGGCCCTGATCAAAAGTAGTGCACTATATAGGGAATAGGGTGCCACAAGTATAGAAACACAATTACACAGGCATATTTAGTGTACCCATGAGACTGCAATCAAATTGCTGCGGTCTGAGTTTCTTTTCAGTTCCAGTAATTTCATATGTATGCTGCCAACAACTTTATAACAACAACCGCAATAAAAAAACAGAACATATATTCGGGCATATGGTAATAGCTTTGTTATTTGTTTAATTAACCTTTCACCTCTGCATGCACCATGTGAGGAGTTGATGAGTTGTTTGATTATAGTTATAAGATGAAAGTTATTAGCAGCATTACAAGCAGATGCAGGCTTGATGATAAGCTCGAGGCAGTTCCAAGACGGCTTCCTTAGAGAGAACACTGTTGCGACTAGATATGAAGTTAGCATATCAAATGGCACCGGAGGGCAACGCTTTAAAACACCCCTTAGGTTTGCTGTGAGAATCTATTACATTTACCGTGCTCCTGCTCCACCATCATTAAATGACTGACTGTAAAAGTAACTGTCAGAGCTGAGCTTACCTACATGTAAGCATTTGGATGATATGTGTGTTTTTGCTCTGTAATGATGAAATAAGAAAAATCCCCTGTCTTGCATGCATGCGTTTGTATTTGTGCGTGTGTGTATATACCCTCACCTAGCTGAGAGGCGGAGAGCAGGCTTTGGCTGGACCTCCTCCTCCTGTCCGCCCCATAGCCCCAGGCGTCACAACCAGGCACCCCGTTGGTGTGGTGGGGGGAAGGGGCCCACTCCGCTGGGTTAGCTTGGCCCTGGACCTGGATCTGCTGCTGGGGACTCTGGGGGGTGTGGGGACTCTGGGCATGCCTGTGGCAGATCCACTCCCCTGGGCTGGCCTGTCCCTGGGTCTGGTGATGGGGGCTCCGGGGGGCCTGGGCGTGCCTGTGGCAGGCCCTTTCCCGGGGGTGAGGGGGAGGCGGCGTGAGGGGCAGGGGTTTCACCTCAGGGGCGTGCAGGGCGCAGGGAAAGTCAAAGAGGGGCCGGTGTAGGGGCTCCGAGCTGGAGAAGGTTATAAGATCATCCACCACAGGGGGGTCCGAGGAGGAGAGGACTTTGGGGGCTGTGATGTTGACCTCCTGCGGGGGGTGGTGGTGGTGGTCCAGGGGCTGGGGGTTAGTCCGGGGGGGCACCCTGGGGGGGATGTGGGGCACGTCCAGGTGTCGTCCCAGGGCCACTGAGGCTAGGAGAGAGCCTCCTCCCAGTAGGGCCCGGTGGGTGCTCCTCAGAAGGCCTCCCAGGGAACGGTGCTCGGGCCTGGGGGAACCGGCCGGGGAACCCCCCTCCAGCCCCTCCTCGCTGCCCGAGTCCCCATGAGGTAGAGAAGGCCTGGGGGGCTCCTTCACTGAGGAGCCTGGGGAGATGGAGATGGAGAGAGGGAGATGGAGAGAGGGAGAGAGCGAGTTAGGCTAGAGGTGGTGTGTGTGCATGTGAATATGGTAGTGTAACTCTAATAGTGGTGAAGAGCATACCGTTTTGGGCAGGCTGTGGCGTGGAGGGTCTGTACTCCTCAAAGTCATCCTTGGAGTCTACGTTCTCATTGCTGTCCATTTCCAGGAGCTTGGCTCTCATTGAAAGACTGGAACACACACATACACAGTGACTTAAAAACATACTAGTTCTGCTTTAGCCAATACGGTATAAATTGTCCATATCTGGCCCTGTTTATGGAGGGGTCTGAGGGAGAGGGTTACTACCTGCTCTCCTGAGGGCTTAAGCGCAGGACTTTGGGGCTCTTGGGGCTCTTTGGGCTCTGGGGCCTCCAGTGAGGGCCCAGCCGGTCCCCGTTAGCCTGCTTGTTGTGTGGAGGGGCCTCCAAGGGCCACATAGAGCTCAGACCAAATGCCCTGTTGTTCTCACTGGGGCTCACTGGAGAGGAGGAGTGAGAGAGAGAGAGTATATTAATTAAAAAACACTTACATGAACACACACAATACATTTCAGTTCAAGACCACCTCTAATACAAGCACCATAACATAGGTTGGTGACAGTGACACACAACCATCAAACAGAGTAGAACAACTGGGTCTTGTCCAACACATTGCGTTCTCTAGCTGGGATACATGTGTGCCAGTGTGCACCAGAACAGGTGAGGTGCTCCGGGCTAAAACCAAGATTTCACATGTCACTGGAACAGTGTGGAACCGAGGAGCCAAGTATACAGGGGGAGAGAGGGGAGGAGCGACGGAGAGTGGGGGAACAAAGAGAGCAATAACAGAAGTGAGACTCCACCTGATGCTGACACACTAACAGCCTACTTTCTAACCCCCCTCGGGGCTAGCTAACGTTACGCTAATGTTAAACAAATGCTGCATGATTCTGAACAGCTCTCAACAGCCATCCCAAATGGGGTTCCGACTGAGACGCAATGTGCTATCAGGTTTGTGTCAGTTATGACATCTCAGAAATCTCTATGGACCGATACAGTGAGAAGACGCTAAAACACTAGCAAGATGCTAAAGCGCTAACACAATTCTACCCATATGGCCCCTGGGTTCAGTGAGTCATCGTCTGCCTTGACATTGCTAGCACAGATGTTCGCTAAATAAGGAAATACATTTTAATGACAGCCGCACTCTCAAACCCTGAAAATTACCATTAAGCAGACGCGTTATTACCGAGTCATGAATCCAACCCACTTTTTAATGCATAAAGGAATCAAACAGATGGTTTTTGAAACTGCTAAACCAATTAAATATTTAATATAAATTAAATGGTGCTCTTAAACTCAACCACAGTGGTTAGGCCTATTTTATGGGGAATTTTGGGAAAACCCCTTACAGTCTGTTGCGACACAGAAAATTCCTGTAGACGCGTGATCTATTGGGAGAATTCCCCCACTAAGAGGAAACAGTCATTCTCATTTGTATTTAGTGCTGACTCCAGAACAGTGCTCTTACTCAAATGGACCTCCACCCCCTACTAAGTACTGCAACACAGCCTCACCAAGACTAATTCAGTAAAAAGGCTTTCAATCTGGAACAAGACATGCATGTAAAAATGCAGAGATTATTTTGACATTGTAACACATGGAGCAAGGACTCCCCTATCTGGTAGAAAGGGGAAATTGCAGATCTAGAACTGAAGGCTGAAACAAATACACTGCTGATCCCTTATTAAAAGTAAGTCAGATAATATTTGGACTGGAACAGCTACAGTGCCTTCGGAAAGTATTCAGACCCCTTGACTTTTTCCACATTTTGTTACATTACAGCCTTATTCTAAAATGGATTAAATTAAACATTTTCCTTAGCAATCTACACACAATACCCCATAATGACAAAGCGAAAACAGGTTTTTAGACATTTTTGCAAATGTATTAAAAATAAAAAAACAGAAATTCCTTATACATAAGTATTCAGACCCTTTGCTATGAGACTCGAAAAATGGAGCTTAGGTGCATCCTGTTTCCACTGATCATCCTTGAGATGTTTCTACAACTTGATTGGAGTCCACCTGTGGTAAATACAATTGATTGGACATGACTTGGAAAGGCACACACCTGTCTATATAAGGTCCCACAGTTGCATGTCAGAGCATAAACCAAGCCATGAGGTCGAAGGAATTGTACGTAGAGCTCTGAGACATTTCTGCTGCATTGAAGGTCCACAAGAACACAGTGGCCTCCATCATTCTTAAATGGAAGAGGTTTGGAACCACCACTCTTCCTAGAGTTGGCCGCCATGCCAAACTGACCAATCGGTGGAGAAGGGCCTTGGTCAGGGAGGTGACCAAGATTCAGAGTTCCTCTGTGGAGATGGGAGAACCTTCCAGAAAGACAACCACCTCTGCAGCACTCCACCAATCAGGCCTTTATGGTAGAGTGGCCAGACGGAAGCCACTCCTCAGTAAAAGGCACATGATAGCCCGCTTGGAGTTTGCCAAAAGGCACCTAAAGACTCTCAGACCATGAGAAACAAGATTCTCTGGTCTGATGAAACCAAGATGGAGCTCTTTGGCCTGAATGCCAAGCATCACGTCTGGAGGAAACCTGGCACCATCCCTACGGTGAAGCATGTTGGTGGCAGCATCATGCTGTGGGGATGTTTTTCAGCGACAGGGACTGGGACACTATTCAGGATCGAGGCAAAGATGAACGGAGCAAAGTAAAGAGAGATCCTTGATGAAAACCTGCTCCAGAGCGCTCAGGACCTCAGACTGGGGCGAAGGTTTACCTTCCAAAAGGATAACGACTCTAAGCACACAGCCAAGACAACGCAGGAGTGGCTTCGGGACAAGTCCCTGAATGTCCTTGAGTGGCCCAGGCAGAGCCCAGACTTGAATCCGATCTAACATCTCTGGAGAGACCTGAAAATCTCTGTGCAGCAACGCTCCCCATCCAACCTGACAGAGCTTGAGAGGATCTGCAGAGAAGAATGGGAGAAACTCGCCAAATACAAGTGTGCCAAGCTTGTAGCGTCATACCCAAGAAGACTCGAATGCTGTAATCGCTGCCAAAGGTGCTTCAACAAAGTACTGGGTAAAAGGTCTGAATACTTATGTAAATGTAATATTTAGTTGTTTTATTTTTAATAAATTAGCAAAAAAATTTTAAAAAAATATGTTTTTGCTTTGTCATTATGGGGTATTGTGTGTAGATTGATGAGGGGGGAAAAAACGATTTAATCAATTTTAGAATAAGGCTGTAACGTAACAAAATGTGGAAAAAGTCAAGGGGTCAGAAAACTTTCCGAAGGCACTGTATTGTTGTGAAAGGGTGTGTGTGTGTGTGTGTGAGTGAGTGAGTGAGTGAGTGAGTGAGTGAGTGAGTGAGTGAGTGAGTGAGTGAGTGAGTGAGTGAGTGAGTGAGTGAGTGAGTGAGAGAGAGAGAGAGAGAGAGAGGCTGCAAGACAGGGTGAAGGAGAGAGGGAATGTAAGGGCTGATTGAAGTGAGCATGTATAGGTCAAACAAAGGATGAGGTGTGTGTGTGTGTGTGTCATGCACACGTGCACTGCATACATGCCTGTTTGTGTGCATGTGTGTGTGTAAACTGAGAGAATGTATAGTGTGTTAGTGTGTGAACTGAGAGGGTGTGTGTGTGTGTATGTGTGGTGCAGAGAAAGACCACACTCACGTTGGATTGCTCGGAAGCGTGGGCCTAAGGAGGGAGAGTTGCCGGAGCCCAGATCAGGAGAATTGCGTCTCTTCTCCAGCCCCGGAGACGCCTGCACTGTGATCTTGTGGATGAAGTCTGGAAGAGACATACACCAGATGTGAGAACAGGCCACACACACAGAAATAAACAATAATAAATCACAATCCTGGGTCCTGTTCAGTAGAGAGAAAATGTTTTGAAACAGAGTAAACGGGGAGGTAGTACCGGATCTTGTGTAACAATAAGAACACAGATTTATTTTACCGTTGCAAAGCATTTTGCTATGGTGTGCCCTACTGAACTCGACTCCGATTCAAACAGGCAAGGAATTGCTCGTCTTCGGCAAGATTGTTTACCTAGCTTCTCCTTGAAAATAATTAATGTGGTGGAGTGGGTGTCTGAATTTCCTTTTCATGTAATGCCATGATAATATGGTAATTTGTTAGGCCAAACTAAACGAAAACATGAGAGGCCTGAAGGATGTCTGTTCTAGCTTTGCGTAGTAGGATAATGTATCTTTGTGGGTGTGTAGGTGGAAATGTTGGGGGGGGTTTGGGGCGGGGGAGCGATAGAGCGATAGAGCGAGAAGGGCCAGCCAGGGGTGAGAGGAAGCCCAGAGGCGTGGTTGGGTTGGCTCCATGTCCCTCTCATCAACCCCACATCAAATCTCTTCCCTGCTGCTGGGAAGGCCTGACCACAGCCTCCACACACCCATGCGCATAAACAAGTGCGCACACATGCACATACACACAGAGACACATAGACTGAACATGCATACACGAGTTTACCCACACACAGACAGTACTCATGCACGCACGCAGTAAGAGTCTGAGCGCATTTGGAAAGAGAGAGTGGATCTGTATGAGAAACGCTGAGTGTGTCCGTATGAGGCATGACGAGTGTGCAGGATGAAAGTGTGTGTGTGGGTTTGTTTCTATGGTGAGATTCTTATCAGTAACAATGGGAGTAGTCTACAGGAGAAAGTGAGCCTATAGTTGATTATGGCCGTGTCCGAAATCTGTCTCGCCTACTACTTACTAAAACGACACACTGTGTACTTCTAGTTCTACCTACTATTTAGAATGTATTGTTTAGTAAAAACCTATGCAGTTAGCAACAAATATCAATGGGTATTTGGACGGCCATTATAAGATATGATGCTACAGTATGTAATACTTCCGCACACTCAGTCGTGAAGTAGTGTGAGGTGAGCTGAGGTGAACTAAGTACAATGACAAGTACTGTAGCTGCCTTCTTGGCCAGGTCTCAATGATTTCAAATGGCAACTGACTGATTCCTTCTCTGCCTATCTATCTGACTCACAGACCATCCAACCAATTGACCAGTATTTCCTATTTCAAGACATCCCAAGCAAGTTACCCCGTCCCCTCACCTTGGGGCATGCTGATCTTCTCTCCGTTCTTGCTGCCCTTAAGCTTGTGCTTCTTGAACGTTCCCTTCCTCTTCTTGACATTGGGCTTCTCCTGGTTGTTCATGTGCAGGATGAGCAGACTGAGCTCCCTCTCAAACACGTCCTGTTCCCACTGGGCCAGCTGCTGCTCCCTCTGCCTCAGGAACTCCTCGTGGGACTTCTGCTCCACCGCCGCACGCTTCAGCTCCTCCTCGCGGCAACGCAGCTCCTGGAAATTGGGAGATTTTTTTGTGGTTACTGCTGGAGTACAAATATACACACACATTACATAGATAAAACAATACAATTGGTGTTTATTACACACTCACACACAAACTAATATTCTTAGAAAATGTTGCACATTTATTGAAAATGAAATACCGAAATATCTGTATTCACACCCATTTACATTTACGTCATTTAGCTGACGCTCTTATCCAGAGCGACTTACAGTTAGTGCATACATTATTATTTTCATACTGGCCCCCCGTGGGAAACGAACCCACAACCCTGGCGTTGCAAACGCCATGCTCTATCAACTGAGCTACCTCCCTGCCTGCCATTCCCTCCCCTACCCTGGACGACGCTGGGCCAATTGTGCGCCGCCCCATTGGTCTCCCGGTTGCGGCCGGCTACAGCAGAGCCTTCAATACTTTGTAGAAGCATTTTTGGCGGAGATTACAGCAGTCCGTTTTTTGGGGTAAGTCTCTAAGAGCTTTGCACACCTGGATTATACAATATTTGCCCATTATAATTTCTTTAAATTCTTCAAGCTCTGTCAAGTTGATTGTTAATCATTGCTAGACAGCCATTTTCAAGTCTTGCCATAGATTTTCAAACCGATTTAAGTCAAAACTGTAACTAGGAGACTTAGGAACATTCAATGTCGTCTTGGTAAGCAACTCCAGTGTAGATTTGGCCTTGTGTTTTAGGTTATTGTCCTGCTGAAAGGTGAATTCATCTCCCAGTGCCTGTTGGAAAGCAGACTGAACTAAGATTTTTCCTTTGCTTATAGCTGTATTTTGTTTATTTTTATCCTAAAAAACGTCCTAGTCTTTCCTTATGACAAGCATACCAATAACACGATGCAGCCACCACCATGCTTGAAAATATGAAGAGTTGTACTCAGTGATGTGTTGGATTTGCCCCAAACATAACGCTTTGTATTCTGGACAAAACATTTCTTAGCCACATTTTTTGCAGTATTACTTAAGTGCCTTGTTGCAAACAGGACGCACATTTTGGAATATTTCTATTCTGTACAGGCTTCCTTTTCACTCTGTCATTTAGGTTAGTATTGTGGAGTAATTACAATGTTGTTGATCCATCCTCAGTTCTCGTATCACAACCTTTAAACTCTAACTGTTTTAAAATCCTCATTGGCCTCATGGTTAAATCCCCGAGCAGTTTCCTTCCTCTCCAGCAACTGAGCAAGGAAGGATGCCTGTATCTTTGCAGTGACTGGGTGTATTGATACACCATACAAAGCGTAATTAATAAATTAAAGGGATATTAAGTGTCTTTTTTTCTCTCCTTTCTTTCTTTTTTTTACCCATATCTTTGCGAGTCATTGAAAAACCTCCCTGGTCTTTGTGGTTGAGTCTGGGCTTGTGGTTGAACCTTACATATTATGTGTGGGCTACAGAGATAGGGTAGTCATTCAAAAATCATGTTAACCACTATTATTGAACACAGAATGAGTCCATGCAACTTATTATGAGATTTGTTAAGCACATTTTTACTCCTGAACTTATTTAGCCTTGCAATAAAAAAGGGGTTGAATACTTATTGACTCAAGACAGTTCAGTTTTACATTTTTTATTCCACTTTTTGACATTCCACTGTGATATTATGGGGTATTGTGTGTAGATCAGTGACACAGAATCTCAATTTAATCAATTTTAAATTCAGGCTCTAACAAAATGTGGAAAAAGTAAAGGGGTGCTCCATTTATGTGCATCAATAACAAGCACACTCCTACTTCTCCATGTCTATTAGAAACTCACACACAATAACCACAACCATCCCAGCCTCTCTCTAAAAGACAGCCGTTTCACTCACCTTCTCCTTGGCCCTGAGCTCATCAAACATGTCCTGGATCTCCAGTTTCCAGTCCTCCTGTAGGGAATGAAAGGAGTCCTGAGGCATCTCCTCCACCACCTGCCTCTCTAGAGCCGTCAGCTGAACCAAGATGGAGGCAAAGTTGGGCCTGTGGTGTGGGTCCTGATCCCAGCACTCTGTGAAGGCAGACACATCGAGTTGAGACGAATTATAATAACATGCAAATGACAGTTACTCCACTACCAAAGCATACATAACCCTGTAAATTCAGGACATGACACAATTCATGCACAAACAAATCTAAACTCAGCAAAAAAAGAAACTTCCCTTTTTCAGGACCCTGTCTTTCAAAGATAATTAGTAAAAATCCAAATAACTTCACAGATCTTCATTGTAAAGGGTTTAAACACTGTTTCCCATGCTTGTTCAATGAACCATAAACAATTAATGAACATGCACCTGTGGAACGGTCGTTAAGACACTAACAGCTTACAGACGGTAAGCAATTAAGGTCACAGTTATGAAAACGTAGGACACTAAAGAGGCCTTTCTACTGACTCTGAAAAACACCAAAAGAAAGATACCCAGGGTCCCTGCTCATCTGTGTGAACGTGCCTTAGGCATGCTGCAAGGAGGCATGAGGACCGCAGATGTGGCCAGGGCAATAAATTACAATGTCCGTACTGTGAGACGCCTAAGACAGCGCTTCAAGGAGACAGGACGGACAGCTGATCGTCCTCGCAGTGGCAGACCACGTGTAACAACACCTGCACAGGATCGGTACATCCGAACATCACACCTGCGGGACAGGTACAGGATGGCAACAACAACTGCCCGAGTTACATCAGGAACGCACAATCCCTCCATCAGTGCTCAGACTGTCCGCAATAGGCTGAGAGATACTGGACTGAGGGCTTGTAGGCCTGTTGTAAGGCAGGTCCTCACCAGATATCACTGGCAACAACGTCACCTATGGGCACAAACCCACCGTCGCTGGACCAGACAGGACTGGCAAAAAGTGCTCTTCACTGACGAGTAGCGGTTTTGTCTCACCAGGGGTGATGTTCGGATTCGCGTTTATCGTCGAAGGAATGAGCATTACACCGAGGCCTATACTCTGGAGCGGGATCGATTTGGAGGTGGAGGGTCCGTCACGTGTCACAGCATAATCGTACTGAGGTTGTTGTCATTGCAGGCAGTCACAACGCTGTGCGTTACAGGGAAGACATCCTCCTCCCTCATGTGGTACCCTTCCTGCAGGCTCATCCTAACATGACCCTCCAGCATGACAATGCCACCAGCCATACTACTAGTTCTGTACATGATTTCCTGCAAGACAGGAATGTCAGTGTTCTGCCATGGCCAGCGAAGAGCCCGGATCTCAATCCCATTGAGCACGTCTGGGACCTGTTGGATCGGAGGGTGAGGGCCATTCCCCCAGAAATGTCCGGGAACTTGCAGGTGCCTTGGTGGAAGAGTGGGGTAACATCTCACAGCAAGAACTGGCAAATCTGGTGCAGTCCATGAGGAGGAGATGCACTGCAGTACTTAATGCAGCTGGTGGCCACACCAGATACTGACTGTCACTTTTGACAACTAGGGACACTTTTGTTCAGGGACACATTATTCAATTTCTGTTAGTCACATGTCTGTGGAACTTGTTTAGTTTATGTCTCAGTTGTTGAATCTTGTTATGTTCTTACAAATATTTACACGTTAAGATTGCTGAAAATAAGTTGACAGTGAGAGGACGTTTATTTTTTTGCTGAGTTTACAACTTAAAGCGCATTATGGCTGTAATTTGGCTAGGCATTGTCAAGGCTGTATACCCGACTGATGACCAAATTATTTCATTAGTGGTTTTGTCAAATCTAACCATCACCAACACAGCAAACCAACAACAACCTCCAACATCCTTGAACAGCAGCCACAACCTAACCAGTAGCTCAGAATGTTTTTCTTGTGCATGACCAAATCTAACATTTTACAGAACACTCATTTTTTTATTCAGCCTCCTGGTTTGAGGAAATGGAGACAGAGAGAGAATAATGGTTACACCAAATTTAAAACACACACACACACACACACAGAGGTCTCTTACCTGCCATGAGCATGGCGAAGGGTTCTGGGCAGGTGGAGGGGATGGGGAGGGTGAGTTTGTTGACAGCCACTCCGTAGGCCACAGCCAAACCATCTATGCCCCTGTAGGGAACCTCTCCTGTCAGCAACTCCCACAGAAGAACACCATAGCTGGGGAGGAGAGAGGGTGAGAGGAGCCATCAATGGAAGGTTAGGGCAGTTTCTCAAACCATTCCCTGGCCCTTCTAGTATGATCACATCTGATTCAATTAGTCAACTATTGTTTACTATAACAAAAACATGATGGGGCTTGTCACCTACACTACCGTTCAAAGGTTTGGGGTCACTTAGAAATGTCCTTGTTTTCATTGAAAACATACATGAAATTAGTTTGAATAGGAAATATAGCAAAATGAATAGGAAATGTAGTCATTGACAAGGTTAGAAATAATGATTTTTAATATAAATAATAATTGTGTCCTTCAAAACGTTGCTTTCGTCAAAGAATCCTCCATTTGCAGCAATTACAGCCTTGCAGACCTTTGGAATTCTAGTTGTCAATTTGTTGAGGTAATCTGAAGAGATTTCACCCCATGCTTCCTGAAGCACCTCCCAAAAGTTGGATTGGCTTGATGGGCACTTCTTACGTACCATACGGTCAAGCTGCTCCCACAACAGCTCAATAGGGTTGAGATCCGGTGACTGTGCTGGCCACTCCATTATAGACAGAATACCAGCTGACTGCTTCTTCCCTAAATAGTTATTGCATAGTTTGGAGCTGTGCTTTGGGTCATTGTCCTGTTGTAGGAGGAAATTGGCTCCAATCAAGCGCCATCCACAGGGTATGGCATGGCATTGCAAAATGGAATGATGGCCTTCCTTCTTCAAGATCCCTTTTACCCTGTACAAATCTCCCACTTTACCACCACCAAATCACCCCCAGACCATCACATTGCCTCCACCATGCTTGACAGATGGCATCAAGCACTCCTCCAGCATCTTTTCATTTGGTCTGCATCTCACAAATGTTCTTCTTTGTGATCCGAACACCTCAAACTTCGATTCGTCTGTCCATAACACTTTTTTCCAATCTTCCTCTGTCCAGTGTCTGTGTTCTTTCGCCCATCTTAATCTTTTATTTTTATTGGCCAGTCTGAGATATGGCTTTTTCTTTGCAACTCTGCCAAGAAGGTCAGCATCCCGGAGTTGCCTCTTCACTGTTGACGTTGAGACTGGTGTTTTGCGGGTACTATTTAATGAAGCTGCCAGTTGAGGACCTGTGAGGCGTCTTTCTCAAACTAGACACTAATGTATTTGTCCTCTTGCTCAGTTGTGCACTGGGGCCTCCCACTCCTCTTTCTATTCTGGTTAGAGCCAGTTTGCGCTGTTCTGTGAAGGGAGTAGTACACAGCATTGTACGAGATCTTCAGTTTCTTGGCAATTTCTCGCATGGAATAGCCTTCATTTCTCAGAACAAGAATACAGTTGAAGTCGGAAGTTTACATACACCTTAGCCAAATACATTTAAACTGTTTTTCACAATTCCTGACATTTAATCCTAGTAAATATTCCCTGTCTTAGGTCAGTTAGGATCACCACTTTATTTTAAGAATGTGAAATGTCAGAATAATAGTAGAGAGAATGATTTATTTCAGCTTTCATTTATTTCATCACATTCCCAGTGGGTCAGAAGTTTATATACACTCAATTAGTATTTGGTAGCATTGCCTTTAAATTCTTTAACTTGGGTCAAACGTTTCGGGTAGCCTTCCACAAGCTTCCCACAATAAGTTGGGTGAATTTTGGCCCATTCCTCCTGGTGTAACTGAGCTGGTGTAACTGAGTCAGATTTGTAGGCCTCCTTGCTCGCACACACTTTTTCAGCTCTGCCCACACATTTTCTATAGGATTGAGGTCAGGGCTTTGTGTTGGCCACTCCAATACCTTGACTTTGTTGTCCTTGAGCCATTTTGCCACAACTTTGGAAGTATGCTTGGGGTCATTGTCCATTTGGAAGACCCATTTGCGACCAAGCTTTAACTTCCTCACTGATGTCTTGAGATGTTGCTTCAATATAAGTTTATGTAAACTTACGACTTCAACTGTAGACTGACGAGTTTCAGAAGAAAGTTATTTGTTTCTGGGCATTTTGATTCTGTAATCGAACCCACAATTGCTGATGCTCCAGATACTCAACTAGTCTCAAGAAGGCCAGTTTAATTGCTTCTTTAAATCAGCACAACAGTTTTCAGCTGTGCTAACATAATTGCAAAAGGGTTTTCTAATGATCAATTAGCCTTTTAAAATGATAAACTTGGATTAGCAAACACAACGTGCCATTGGAACACAGGACTGATGGTTGCTGATAATGGGCCTCTGTAAGCCTATGTAGATATTCCATACAAAAATCAGCCGTTTCCAGCTACAATAGCCATTTACAACATTAACAATGTCTACACTGTATTTCTGATCAATTTGATGTTATTTTAATGGACAAAAAAAATGATTTTCTTTCGAAAACAAGGACATTTCAAAGTGACCCCAAACTTTTGAACGGTAGTGTATATATACGAAATACACACACACGGGACTGTGCCAATCCTCAAAGAGTGGCAAAGTACTTGGATCTCCCACACTTTCAATTAGATCCATTCAATGTCACAGTTCCACACACACACTATTCTAAAAGCCCTCTAGGCCCTCTTGTAAGTGGGGAGTGTAGCCTGCAGCATTTTAAAATAGTCCTTTAATTACTCTGCCACTCAACCGCTCTGTTTTTGCCATCATCTGAAATCTACAGCTTTATGAAGAAGAAGAAGTGAAGGACAACGTCCCAGATCGCACCCTATTCCCTAAATAGTGCACTATAAAAGGAAATAGGGTGTCATTTTGGGACACAACCAAGGAGATGAATAAAGGAGAATAGAAGAGGTCAATATTGGCCCTCAATTTCACCCTCTCATTAACATATTCAAAGTACTTGTTATGAAGATACAATTGAAAAAGATAGTTTGGGAATAGTGAGAGAGAGAAGTTTGTGTTGTGTGTGTTGGATGCACAGTGTGCTATTTTGGATACACATCCTGTGTGTGGCCACACATACTGGTATGCAAGTGCATGCACACTAACACACACACACACACACGTATGCTTGGCCACACACACAAAAAAACCACACACCCTTCACAGATAAACGGCTGTGGTCAGGTCTGCTGTGTGGCCTCCCTTCCTCTCTACCGCCATGCAGGGGGACAATAGGACAGTGTGCCTGACACGTCTCACACAAAGCACAGAGCAGGCTTTGAAATGCTGCTGCTGCTATCACATGGCTGTTCCCCTCCTGCAACCTATCCCATCACTGTCAGAGAAGGTGGGGGGGACAAGTTCCCACACACACACACAACAGTCCTGGTTCATAAATAGTCTCGTCATACATCTTTATTTTAATTCAATTATTATTTTAGCAGGGAAGTTGGCATCTCTCAGCAGGGAAGTTGGCATCTCTCGTCATCATACATACAGAATTGTGATGGTAACGTTAGGTAAGTAGCTATTTATTGCTGGATGTGCCTCCTGCACTGCTCCATCATACACACCTACAAGCCACCTTACCTCCAGACGTCGCTGCCCTTGGAGAAGGTGGAGGACTTGATGACCTCGGGTGCCATCCAGGCATAGGTGCCCGCCGTGCTCATCTTGGTGGTATTGTGCCACTCCCGTGCCAGGCCAAAGTCTGTGATCTTCAAGGTTATCCCTTCCATACAATCATTCTCCATCGGCTGGGCCAGGAGGACTGTGTGTGTGAGAGAGAGAGAGAGAGAGAGAGAGAAGAGAGAGAGAGAGAGAGAGAGAGAGAGAGAGAGAGAAGAGAGAGAGAGAGAGAGAGAGAGAGAGAGAGAGACAGAGACAGAGACAGAGACAGAGACAGAGACAGAGACAGAGACAGAGACAGAGAGAGAGAGAGACAGAGAGAGAGAGAGAGAGAGACAGAGAGAGAGGGAGACGCTTTTATTGAGAGATCCTCCTTTAAAACATTTACATTTTAGCGATGTAGCAGATGATCTGAGCCAGAGCGGCTTACAGTTAGTGCACTCAACTTATGGTTGCAAGGTACGACAACCACATGACAGTCACAGTAAAGTAAAAACGTTAAATCAATAAAGCAACCGTCACAAGAATCATTGCTAGTAAGAATGAAAATGGATGCACTCACTAACTGTAAGTCGCTCTGGATAAGAGTGTCTGCTAAATGACTAACATGTAAATGTAAGAAAAGACAAGCAAAACCTAAATAATATTTACACTCATACCGACCTTATAAAGCAAGGTGGGTATGAAGGAAGAAAAAAAGTAAAAGATGTATTAAACTATTAAATGCATCAAGTCATTATAATGCAATTAAATGCATAATTGCAAAAGGGCATTTAGCACTTTTCCTGCATAACTAAGTATTAAGCCACTTTGTGACAACACACACACACAAAGCCTTTCACATCCTCTTCCCTTTACTATTTTAGATCAGTGAGATCAGACTTATAATACAAAGAAGAAATGAACACTGATAAGACCTTCTATATCTACACATTAACATCCCCTCTCCCTATAACCTCCAAACGAGACAATGGGCATATATCCCATATCATCCTCTCATCATAGATATCTATGATCTAGAATGATATCCTATGGAACAGAATTTAGCTCATGGAATACAGAGGCACATTCGTTTTATTTCCTGATATTCATCTCCTCTGCCCCTCATACCTGCATGTCTTCCTGCTATGCACGGGCAATACATGCTAGGTACAATCAACCTGCATTGAGAGGCCTTCATTAGCCTATGCCTTATTGACATGCAATACAGAGGTCATGCATCCTCCCTCCTCTCTCGTGTGAGGTGAAAAGGAAGTACGCCTTAGAATGACAAGCATGTGTTAGGATGCGTCTATGCACTCTTCCTTGGCAGCCCAAATGGGCACCCTCAGGGTGAGAGACGGGCACCCAACGTCCAGCGAGAAAGACGGAGTCGGAATTATGGAAGAATTTGACTTTTTATAGGGAAGTAGGCCTTCTGCTATTTCCAGCCACTTTCTGTTTTTTTAAGTGTATAAGTACATGTTTTCTTTCTGTCTGTCATCTCTTGCCTTCTCCCTCTGTCTCGGTCTCTCACACACAAACACTATAGTCTCTGGCTCCCTCCCTCTGCACACATCCTGTGCTCTGCCTGGCAGGCCAGCGGCTGTGCCGTGTTTGACGTCACAAAGGAATGCATCACAAGAGTGTGGGGTGGGGGGCATTGTGAAAAGGCTCAGCTCTCACAATAAACCTCTGGCACCATCACTTCACGGTGCTAGCTCTCATCCGCACACACACACACACACACACACACACACACACACAGAGATAACTAGAACGACGGAGAGAACAGTGGACACGTGTTCACACACCCACACAGTGTCACACACAGCATCAAATAAACATACATATTGTACACACAGAGATGCCTTAGGAGGAGTATCTGAAAACGTAGCACAGACACAGATATGGGAGCTGCGTTCAATGTGAACAGATGCACCACAGATCTATGGTATGAAATTGTGGGATGAGAACCAGACAAATGCCCTCAGTCCCTTTGCCTCTCTGTATTGTCTTTCTAAGAACCATCCGTTTTTGTCATTTATGTGCGTCACAAATCTTCCATGGTCTTTCACTTCTTCATAGGATTTCCACTAAAACCATTGTCTTAGAATAGTAGGTTATCAGGCAACTAAAGAAAAACAAACCAAATTGGATAGATAGGAGACTTTTCATTGTCTACGTTGTCGGCTGCATGACAAGTCCTCCTTGTAAATGTAAACAACAACAAAAACAAGTCTCCATTCCATCCTCTTGTTGTTGTTTTTCTTAAGTATACAGCCCCTAGGGGGATAAATATTTACCACACTAATCTATTTTACTCTCTTTAATGAAACTTGACTAGTTTGTCGGTCAACTAGTGTTGAGCACATTTCAAAACAAGGCTGCATCCCAAGTGGAACCCTAATTCCTACATAATGTACTACTTTTGACCAGCGCCCTATGGGCCATGGTCAAAGGTATAGGGAATAGGGTACAATTTGGGACACAGACAAGCTCTGGGCAATAACCTCCATTTCCTCTTGGCCTGCTCTCGTGACCTAATCTCCAGGAAGTGACGCCAATTGGACCAAAGAGCTCTGGCCCTTCCTCAAAAAAGAGGATCCATTTCACCGTTTTACTTTATGGTGCAGATTAAGCCGAATCCTATTTTTAGAAACTGGGATTAACAGGGGTCATTTGGCTTCCGGCAACTGATTGAGACAGCTAGAGAGGAATGTGGGATATATGGGTGAGTGAATCAATCGGTCGCTCCGATGAGAGAATGTTGGTTGTTGCCAGGGTTGTGACCTGTTGTGTCCTGAATGGCTTACAGTAACTAAAAGAAAATTGTCGAGACGTACAGACACACACACAGCGTTTTAGCAACATCAATATTCTTCCTCTATTTCCTGTGTTGAGGCAAACTGCATCCTCAATTAAGACACCCTTTGGCCCCTCCCACCACATGACCACGCCATTCTGGCTGCTAGAACAATAAGCAGTGAACTGGTCTAGTATGTAACCATTGACTTCTATGGCATGACATATCTCAGGGTTCACCAAGTCTAACGCCTTGCACACACTTGCGCTCATAACTAATGTTACCATAACCGTTATGTAGAAGATAGTAGGCCTTTGTAACGTTATCGTAACAGTTAACTGGTCACTCATTGTGAATAAGGTGAACAAGGACATGTGGCACTAGACCCAGAGTTGGTCCCTGCCAGTCTGCCCAGCCCCAGACAACCTCCTGACACAGACATGGCAACCAAACAAAGACGCCCGCGAGATGGCAGCTACATCCCCATGGCAACGGGACTCTGTTTGGTATTGTTTGTTGTTCAGAGAGAGAGAGAGAGAGAGAGAGAGAGAGAGAGAGAGAGAGAGAGAGAGAGAGAGAGAGAGAGAGAGAGAGAGAGAGAGAGAGAGAGAGAGAGAGAGAGAGAGAGAGAGAGAAGGTAGTCAGTCACTTACTGAAATTACTCTCTCAGGAGCGACCAAGATATGTATACCGGCCAAGACTATCTAAAATAGTATACCTATATGGAAAGGAAGCTCAACTGCTCTATTGCATATTTGTATGTGGGAATAAAAGTATCGTATTGCCTTATCTTATTTAGGGGCACTCGAGCTATTTACATTTTTCTCAAGAGTGTGGGTGAGTTCGCACTGACATGCACTTCATGCACCACCAAGGAAGGGCTGTGGGCCTATTTAATTTCCACAGCAGCTTATGAGAGAACACGTTTGCATTCTCCAGAGGCACGCCGTTCCAAGAAGTGTAGCTAGTTGCACACAGATATTGGTTGTTCAGTGGGCATTTCTCAAAAGGAAAAATGGTATGGAATAAGGGCCGGGGTATCATGAAATCCTGAATCCCTGTTGGCAGGATGCACATATAAGAAGCTCACCTGCGTTGACAGCTTTACTAAATTCATTAGTAGCATGACATTGATCTGTAATTCATTAAAGTGGTCAGCTGCACTAAACTACTGTTCTTCTTACCCCATCACTTCTCCTTTTCACTACACTTCATCTCTCCCACTCTCTTTCTCTCTCTCCATATCTCCCTCTCTCTCAAAACTGAAAGCGCGAACCACCGCATTTAACCATGGCAAGGTGACTGGGAACATGGACGTGTACAAACAGACCAGCTATGCCCTCCACAAGGCAATCAAAGAGGCAACACGACAGTACAGGGACAAAGTGGACTCGCAATTCAACGGCTCAGACACGAGACGTATGTGGCAGGGACTCCAGACAATCACAGATTGTAAAGGGAAAGCCAGCCTAGTCGCGGACACCGACGCCTCGCTCCCGGACAAGCTAAAACACCTTTGAGGAAAACACAGACGCGCCGACGCGGGCCACTGCCGCTCACGAGGACTGTGAGCTCTTCTTCTACGACGCTGACGTGAGTAAGCTATATAAACATGTTAACCCTCGCGAGGCTGCCGGCCCAGGCGGCATCCCAAGCCGCGTCCTCTGAGCATGTGCAGATCAGCTGGCTGGAGTGTTTACGGACATATTCAATCTCTCCCTATCCCAGTCTGTTGTCCCCACTTGCTTCAAAATGTCCACCATTGTTCCTGTACCCAAGAAAGTGAAGGTAACTGAACTAAATTACTATCACCCCGTAGCATTCACTTCTGTCATCATGAAGTGCTTTGAGACGCTAGTTAAGGATCATATCACCTTCACCTTACCTGACACCCTAGACCCACTACAATTTGCATACCGCCCCAACAGATCCACGGATGACGCAATCGCACAACACACAATACCTACGTAAGAATGCTGTTCATCGACTACAGCTCAGCTTTCGTTACTAAGCTCGGGAACCTGGGTCTGAACCCTGCCCTCTGCAACTGGGTCCTGGACTTCCTGACGGGCCGACCCCAGGTGGTGAAGGTAGGCAACAACACCTCCACCATGCTGATCCTCAACACGGGGGCCACACAAGGGTGCGTGCTCAGCCCCCTCCTGCGTGGCTACACTCACCCAAGTTTCCTGATGACATAACAGTGGTAGGCCTGATTACCAGCAATGACGAGACAGCCTACAGGGAGGAGGTGAGGGC